TTGGTTGGTAAGTAATTTTCAACTGGGAATTGTTCATGCACTAATAATTTATATAAGATTATAAAGTTATTAATCTGTTAGTTAAATAGTTAAGTTCGGTCCTCTTGATTGTTTTTTTGTGGAATGTAGATGTTATTGGTCAAATAGTTAACTTTGGTTATTTTGAAAACAAAATCATAAAAGGAAAAGATAACATGAAGCTCTTGATTGAGTTACGTGACCAAAATTAAGTTGAAGTACTTTACCTTTTCTTATTTGCTACCTAAATATGTATATTAGATTTATTAACTTCAGATTATATTTTATAGTAACGTAAAGATGATATGTACTTTGTAGTTGACTACTTGGGTTGTTGTTGACTTCATTTTTTTCTTCTAATACCAGATAAAATAATCTCTTACGAAAGATGGATTGTAGTTGACTACAAACCAGTTTTAAGACTATTTCGATAACGGTAATGTTAATTTAATATAATTTGCGTCTCAATAAAATTTAGAAATCTATTAGGCTATTTGATATCGTACGATTGCTAACAAAATTAGATAATATTTTGCAGGTTTGGATGGGAACTTTTTTTATCGAGAATTGTACTTATTTTATATTACTTATGGATTATATTTTGATTTTTATCATAATTTCTTTTAATATGCCACTGTTTTTAAATATATAAAAGCATAAATTTCATATTTCACCTAAAATATACAGTTACAGAATTTATACAACACAATTTTGCTTAGTGATAATATAAATTTTTTTCATTCTAAAACTGAACACTATTAATTTTCATAATTTGAATAATTTAACAAATTTCAAAGGGTGCTTCTGAAAAAAAATTTATGCGACTCGTTCTTTCTCTCCACAATACTGCAACCAGAAATTTAGAGCAGACCCTGTCTCAGCATTGAAACAGCCACTCGTCCCACTTTCTCACACATTGAAGATGCATGATATGTCAGTATCAATTTCTTTGCACTTGCAATACATGGAAATCAATGAGTTCACTATTGAAAGTCTGTTTCCATCAAAATTCAGCTCAAACAATATCACAATATATTTTTTTGCACGCATAAGGTGCAGGCCAGTCACCTAGTAATATTGTAAAAGAATGCATTATTGATAAGTGCTAACCTATTTTACCAGCTATAAACTCATATCATGTAAACCCAATTATTATTAATGAAAAATGATGATGAAATTTAAATAATATATATACAGTGTATATATAATCTTAACTGATTTTTATAGAATTTATATATAATTTTACTAGAATTGCCAAATATCCTATATTTATATCAAACCAAATATTTTAAATAAAAGAACTAATTAAATATAAATTTTCAACACTTAAGTAAATAAAAGTCATAAATTTAAAAATATATTAGAAGTTTCATTCATTTCTTAAAATATTGAAAACTATTCATTTTGTTACGAGGACAACCATATGTCGGTTCACACTTGATTGCAGATTTTTTGAATTTGCATGCTTTAAATTAATGAGTTTTTATTAAATCTAAACCATCTTATGTACAAGTCATCGTGTATACCGGTTCGATCACAGATCTGAATTTGATATAAAAATATTGCTCTCATCTAATTTAAATAATTTATTTTAAAATAATACACATGTTGAGTCTGATCCAACCATATAATTTTTTTTTAAAAAAAAATTAATAATAATCAAACAATTAAAAATATAATTACATTAACTAACTAAATAAAAATAAGAAATTTATTTTTTCATATAATATAATTTTGTAACTTAATAATAATAATGTAACAAAACTAAAATATTAATTCATATCATATATTTTTATTAACCAAGAAGTAACATGCGCTTTTAAACGCGGATCAGGATCTAATGTATCATTAATTTTGCATGTAAGCGAGTGAATCACTCCACGATACATTTTTGATTCACCGTACAAAATGTCATTGAAAACGAAAATATGGTTCACCATTAATAATGGAATGAGTTATTCCATAATCATATATTTCTTAATTGATGCTGAGATATGCGTAAATTAATTAATCTTATACAATATATGGAATTTTATTCATTTTAAACTTTGTGAGCAAGGCATAAAGAAAATATTCAATACTGGTATATATGTTTCGTATTGAATGTTTAGAATATAGTATGGCATCAATTAGAAGAATGATTGCCCAAATTTCGGCAGCTTTGTTATTGTGTATATTCGTTATATATACCAATCAATATACATATATCAATCTATTCACTATTAGTTTCCTTCCTATATATATTCTGTATAAAAAAGCTTGAATACGTGCATTTTCATATATTCACATATAGATATCATAAAACCTATTTTTCGATGGCAGCTATGAATTTCATTTCAGATTTGAATTTTTTTTCTAACACTTTCACCATGTACAATTATCTAACATTACTAATTCTTGTTAATTTTAACAAACAGTATGCATTAAACTATTATACTGGTTCTTACAAATTGTTATGAGATACGTGCTTCACATATTACAAATAAATACGTTATATGTGCCTATCAATATAGTTTTTTTTTATAAATATGTTATATCATATATGTGCACATCAATATAGTTCTTTGGTCGACAATGTTACAACAATACGTGCTCGTTGATATAGTTACAATAACTAGACAATAAATGTAATGGGGTTACATGATAGAAATGATTGGAGAGCAGTGAATGGTACACAGTTGTTGGTACACTATTGTTGGAATGATTAATTTAGAGGGCATGTCGTATCTTTTTGTTGTCTTATCCCCATATCATGTGATGTGTGGTCTCATAGGTAGATTTATATATATATATATATATATGAATCTTATATAATTTCATATAAGTAGTTTGGACGAATAGATAATATTTGTGGCTATTCAAGTAAAATAACTTGCGATTCTCTTACCTGTCAATCTATGATAATCATCCGCAAAAATGTTGACAGGAAGGAAAAAAATACCATTTGTTAACTAAAAACACCCAATAAAGTAGCGCACTTAACATCATATTTTTTACTATCGATATACTGTTTTATTTAAATCTTTTGTTGTTCCTGTATATTTTTCTACTATTGATATACTGTGTTATTTAGATCTTTTGTTGTTAAGTAGATTATATATATATATTTGTTTAGTAAACGTATAACATCATAATTTATACTATTATTTGCGAAGTGATTTTTCGTAACGGAGCTCTCACATTAAAAGTTGGAGTGGTTAATATTTATTTTATCCTTAATGAATTTTTATATATAACTAATTTTATAATTAAAAACGAAATTTAAAAAATAAAATTAGATTAGTATGTTATTATCTTAGATAAATTAATAGGATAATTATCCACATTTATGCATATTTAAAACATAAGATATCTTATAAAATATTATATAGTTATCTGGACATAATTTTTTTCAGTGATTTTTCGCAAGGGAGTTCTCACGTTAAAAGTTAGAGCGGTTAATATCTATTTTACCCTTAATGAAATTTTTATATATAACTAATTTTATAATTAAAAACGAAATTTAAAAAATTAAATTAAATTAGTATGTTATTATCTTAGATAAATTAATAGGATAATTATCCACATTCATGCATATTTAAAACATAAGATATCTTATAAAATATTATATAGTTATCTGGACATAATCTTNCGGTTAATATCTATTTTACCCTTAATGAAATTTTTATATATAACTAATTTTATAATTAAAAACGAAATTTAAAAAATTAAATTAAATTAGTATGTTATTATCTTAGATAAATTAATAGGATAATTATCCACATTCATGCATATTTAAAACATAAGATATCTTATAAAATATTATATAGTTATCTGGACATAATCTTTTTATTATGAAAAATAAAATGTAAGTTCTAAAATAATTTAATATTTAATATTAAGAAAAATATAAATATATTTTTAAATATATTTTATTATGTGGATGTTTTTCAACACTATAATAAGCATATAGATTTTGATGAAAATTCATATAAAAATATTTTAATGTTTGATTTAGGTTTTATAAAACTATAGAAAACAATTTATAATATTATTTTAGAATTAATAAAACAAAAAATAATAAATATTCGTAAAAACATTATGCCCGCATATGCGGGCACAACACCTAGTTTATCCTAAAATGTGCTACTTCAAATGGTTATTTCATAAATTATAGATTTATTTTAAAGATTTACATATTACAAATAATGAAAAAAAATCTAGTCAATTAACTAAAGAGTAACAGAAAACATATTTACATCAAGTCTTTGTTATTTTACTTAGGTCAAATCCCTTCTTTTTTTGGGGGCAAATGGTCAAATCCCTTCAATATCAAAAAAAAAATAACACACAAAAAGAAAATCACAAAATAACATTTATTAAATGAACAAATATCAAATTTTCATTCACTCTAATATAAAACAAAAATAATATCTATTACTTAAACTCATAATTCTTATACCATCTCCAATGATTCTCTTTTTCAAATAGAGTAATTCTATAATTGAGTTGAATTCCGTTCTAATAGTACTCTATTTTATAATAAAAGGTAAAATGATGAAAAATGGATTATTCTATTTATAGAATAAATCCATTTTAATTTATATAGAATAAAAATAGAGTATAATTAAAACATTTTAATCTAAACTTTAATTTACAGTAAAAAATAAATTGGAATTTGAGATGCTCTTAAACTCTAAACTAATCCTAAACTTTATTTTACACCCTTTATTAAAAACTATTTTGTAATATCTTTTCTTATTTGCTATTTCTGAAACAAAATCTTTTATTGCTATCTTATTTTTTTTTTTACTAATTTCTAACCTTTTTGCTTCGCAACCAAAGAAATATTTATTGATGACTTTGGTAAAGAAGAAACATTCCACCTTGATGTGCTCAGTTTGTCCACAATGAACAAATTAATCTTACTTTTCTGCATCTATAATTTTTGGCTATAGACGTCCATTTTGGTCATTCACAAAGAAGAAATCAAGATTTGATTAGGAATACTGAAAAAAAAACTTGCAGAATCAAATAGTCCGAAGCTGTCTAAACATCCAATGGTAAAAAAAAAAAAAAAAGTAGAAGCTTGAAATGAACTATTGAAACAAATCTGCAAAGAATGACATAAAAGTCTTTAACAGAAACGACCTCTGCAATTTGTAGCTTTACAATGGCATGATGAATGTTCATTTTCTTGTCCCGATGTTACCGGTCTGCGTCCATAGTCTCGCGTGATCTCATCTCCTGCAGCTATCTGTTAACGAGAAAAAGATCGATTAGGTCCAACAGTTTGGTACTTCTTTCAAGCAAATAGAGAAGAAATAGACTTTTACATCTTTACTGGCGTATAAACCGATATGAGCAAGAGTGGACTCCATGCTTTCCACAACAACTTGGTAAGTAATAAGATTCGGAGAGCAGCTAGAAATTCAAAAAAAAAAAAAAGATTCAAAATCATAAGTCATGAATGATGCAAAAAAATAAAAACATTGGTGAGACTAAGACTCACCTGTGGTTGATGAATCTAGAAACGTTTCCATGAGTAGTTGCATCAATAACATAATCTTGCTCTCCTTCCATTAATCTACCAAGGTCGTTGATGTTAGCATCAACATCATGTATGTAGCTGCAACCATCTTCTCCATACCTATGGTATCAAAAGCAGGAGTTTAACTTCTATTCCAAGCATGAGGACAAACATGGGTAAAGATTAAAGAAAGCTATGTACTGAGTTCGCCTCTTTTTTGCCTCTTGCTGATCAAGAACTTCTCCAATGTATTGGCAGACGAATGTGCCACGTAGTATATGCTCACAAGCTCGTACTCCCCATCCCTGTGTCAATCAATTAGACATGGATATTGAAAGTGAAGTAAAGACGGATAAAAAAAGGATGATGGCTCATAAAGAATCACACCTTGTTTTCTGTTCTAAAGACTTCAAGTTTAGTGCGTATTCCATTCTGCAAAACCCGATTACGACATGTTCTAGAGCATCCACAGAGCTCATTGCATTCATAAACAGGATAACCCTCCTACATCATTTCCAGTAACAATCACAGTTGAACCACATGTAGTCATTGTCGAGTGACATTAACAGGATTTACAAAACTTACCTCCAGAATGATTCGTTCTTTATCATCATATGGGAATCTACACCTCATGGATTTTCCATATATGTCTCTAGCTTCCTCAAAATCGTTGCCGAAAAGGTATACGTGGTCACAAGTTACAGGCGAGCACACTGAACCGAGACAGCCACACCTGAGTTGCACGTTCTGCAACAAGAAACAAGGTTACTACTACAACACAGAGTCACAAAAGTTCTGTTTTAGTTACAAGTAAGATACCTCCTTTGCACGATCCACTGAATGATTAAGCATTGGTTTTGTAACATAAGTAAAACTTTCCCAAGGCTTCTCAAACTGCTTTTCGGGATTTAAAAGATCCTCCTTATCCACAACACAAGATATGGGAACTGGTTCCTTACCAAAGCTTATGTCACTGCACAAAACAGTAGTCTTTCCAAATGGTCTCTTACTAAAATGATGAGCCTCCATGATACAATGACACTCGTCCACTTCCAACCCGTTATTAGAAGGTTCTCCAGCGTCTATAGCTATCTTCAATCGATCATTCTCTTGTCGCGGGATCAAGGGAGATAGAAGAGTTGGTTCTTTAGAAGGCTTACATCCGTTAGAGCATATGTATCCTTCGAGATGCCAAATCACTTGTACACCATGCTCGCCACAGAGCCTCGCTGCCTTGAGATAGATTCTCTCAGGCAAAACCCCGAACTTAGCCTCCATTGAGTTCTTAAGGCTCACCTTACAGCAAGCTGAGCGAGCAGCAGACAAAATATCTTGGTTATTAGGACGAAGTTTCGCTTTCTGAATCTTTGAGAACAGTATGTTCGAAACCACAGAGCAATGAGCATCTGCTGATCTATCAAAGTTTGTACTATCACTCGGAGGCGGTGATAGTTCAGTTTTTGCTTCTGCGCCGAGTGATTTAGAATCTTGCATCCTTCTCTTCATGTTTACACCAGCTCGGTTTCTAATCCTGTATGACACTGCTCCAAGACTTTTCTTGAACTTATTCGGACGGCTAAGCCTACCAGACTTCATCCTGTAGGTATTAAACCTTAACCCTTTCTTCGGACCACGAGAGCTAACTAGATTCGGTGGTCCCATGTGTTCTGCCTGATGGTGACGACCAAGGTCAGGTAATAAATTGAATTTCAACCCACAGAACTTGCAAATATATCTATGTACACCACCTATGTTTTGGCTCACAACAATCTGTGAGTTTCCTGCTTCAGGATTTTGAGAAGAGACATCATTAGTCAACTTGCTCTCAGAAGCAACTGGTAACGTCTTGCACTCAGAAGGATGCACAGCTTGAACATGTACCAGCAACTGTTCTTTATCTCCAAAGTTGCTGCCACAAGGTATACACTGAAGAAGCATGCACTTCTCAGCAAACTGCACGTGATGTCTCTCCTCCACATGAGCTTCCAAAAGTTTTGGCTTCACAAAAGAATCTAAACAAATAGCACAAGCAAATCCCACAAACGACCATTTCTCTTCGTCTCTTGTTTCTTCTCCATTGGTTATGGCAAGCAGTTGATTAGGAGATTCTGATATTGATGCATCTTCTTCAAAAGCACTGAAACCCCATATCCTAGTTAATCTCTCCTTTTCATGGGATACTAACTTCATCAAGAAACTCCCAACTCCAGCATCAGCGTCTCTCGAAGCTTCTAATATTGCCCACTCAAGCTGTTGGTCCACTGGGACAGAGTTTCTTAAAGATAAGAGACTTTTGAAGAGCTTGTAGAAAACATCACAAGCTTGATGTAGAGGCAACTTCTCCTCACGCGATGAACAACTCCTTAGAAGATCTACAAACACTTCTTTTGATATTATCCGACTCTTTCCATTCCTCGCACGCTTGAGCCAGTTAGGAAGATGCTGTTCGCAGTATAACGTGTGCTTTGTCGCGAATTCATTGCAAGGAACATAGCTGGTCTCTGAGCAAGAACCCACACACAAGTTTTCCTCATTGCTGCTACAATGTTCAAGCATCTCAGTGAAGCTAGTAGTTCCATTGGGCACAACACTTCCCTCTATCTCTCCAAAAGGAGGCACCACATCTTGATGATACTGAGTTGTTTCTAAGGATGACATCATCTCCGCTGCCTTTCTTTTAACCAGATGAGATGAGGAGTTATCAGGTGTCATCACCATCTCTGTGTGAGGACGGTGTTTCTTGCAGTACAACATTCCAGGTAGAGATCTGTGTTTGCATTTCGTACCGAGAACAGTAACTCCTCCACACATGGGTGCTTCAGCCGCAGGAGATGCCTCGTTCTTTATAGCTTTCGTAACGAAACGTGAAGCTAAATGCACACAACAGTAAATATCACCCTCATTAGCCCACCTCACACATTGTCTTCCTTTTGATTCAATGAAAGCTGTACACTGCTGACTCTTGTTCCCCGAACCAAATGGTTTCTTCACAGCTGATTCGTTTATGTTCATGACTTGTGAATGAGACAAATCATTCGTCTCTCTTGTTTTCACAAGCTGTTGTGAACCGCTCGCTTCAACAACAATGCCATCCCACAGGTCCGTGCCATTCACTGGTGTGTTTATTATTACTTCTTCATCTTTCATCACAACCGCAGGAGTATTTGTGTTGTCTTGTGAACCAAAAAACTCCGAGTCAATTGCAGATTCCATCTGTGATGATGCATTTGTTGTTTCTGCACGTCGAATCTCGAGTTTTGGTCTTTTACGGCTGGCCTGGACATCTGAGTTGAAGATGCTTTTACTACTCTCCTCCTGTGCTATTTCTGCAACGCTACGGCGAGATATCGAGAACCATTTTGTGACGTCATGCTTCCACGTTTTCCATTCTGACAACACCATTAGTTGCATCTGAGGATCAGAAATGGATTTGACTTGGTTCCACTGGATACAATTGTCAAATTCCTAAACACAACCAGATAAAGTAAGACTTTGGTAAGAAAGAAAAAAAACGTCTGAACAATTTACACTATCAGACATTACCTCCTTCAGCAACTCAATGCTCTCGGCGTTCACTGCTTCATTACATTTTTGTACCCATGTAGGATACGAGCTTTCTAGCCAGTTTGGATCAATGTATCGTTGCAATATCATCTGAACAACATAACACAAAGCCAAGACATGATTACAGAGCTGAACATTGTTCAGAAGAATCCCACAGCAAAGAGAGCTTACACTATGAAGCTTCACAAGCATTCTTCCAAGATCTTGATAACATGTGCTTCTAGAAGCTTCCATTGCAAACTCTTTCCAGAATATTATATCGTTACCTGACTCAACAACAACCTGCAACATCGAAAGAGCTGAAACCAAAATGCAATACGATGTTCAATATATTTAACAAATACTTAAAGTTTTAAAGCTTATACCTCTGAGTGGAACTGGTCAACTATATTGAGCATTCCAATGGTAAGCTTCCGCATAATGTTGCGGCGAGCGACAGTTAAATCTTTAACCAATTTAACTCCAACTTTGTGTGACTTATATGCAATAGGATCAGGGAACTCATAGATGGTCCTAACAAGCTGCATATCCGCCCACGAGTAGTTCTTTGTATGTGGGAAAAATATCACATAGTACTTTTTTCTATCATGAGTTGGTTTCCCTCTCAAAGTTGTCAATGGCCAATCTGCTTTCGCGCATCTGATTCCAGCTTGCCATTTCCCTCTCCACTAATAACACCAAAGACAAGAAAACATTAAATAACTTAAAACTCAGAGAAAGATGATGAAGAGTTGTGATTACTACCTTCACCCACAAAGCTACAGGTTCATCTTGTTGCAGCCATTTAGGCTCAGAAGGAGATGATGACTCTCCTTCCACATTATCACCAAGATTTTCGGGTTCTTCGGTAATTACATCGGTACTATGCTTCTCTACGTTTAAATCATCCAGCTCAGGCTTCAAAATCGATTCATTAACTGTTGTTTCC